TCTATGCTGAGGGAATAAAGCATGTTCACTCTCGCTTCTTTCCTGGGTATTCAGTTCCTTATTCCAAGGGAACCAGTTCTGAAACCCTCCATAGACAACAACCTACGTGCCTGTGACAACAGACGTGTTTTTTGGTTTCGGCATCTCTTGCTATGACTTATAAACAGGGTTTTATTTTTGCAGGACCCTTGCGACTTCTGAGCGGAAGAGCGTGTCCCATGGAGATATGTAGAGTTTCATGTCTTCGCTTCTGATTCTCACACCTTCCCGTTTCCTTACCCTGTCCTATAGCAAGAGCTACAGTACGTAGCACTGTGTTAAACAAGAGAGCCGTTTGAGATCTCCTCCACCCAGCGTCCCGAGACACCAGACACTCAAGGTCACCAGAGCTCAGCCTGGGACAGTGGCTTTGAGTGTGCATTGTCTCATGCAACAAAGGTCAAAGATGTGAACTCTTAATGTGATTATGCAAAGTAGAAACAAGAAAAAAATACAGGAAAGTGAGAAGTTAAGGCTAAGTCAGAGAAACTCCCAAGAGTGGAGGGGCTTTCCCAGAGTGATGGAGAGCTACGGATTCCTTTCCCTAGGGTCTCTTATAGTGCCGTGAGGTAATCTGCACGGAGAGTGGTTGCTTCTCTAGGCTATCCCGAGCTGCAGAGGACCCACACCCTCTATGCGCGTCCCTTTGGCCTGAGGAGGAGACGATCATACTCTGCTCCCGTTACTGCCACCCAGTTAGCGGTCACGGACACCCGCCTTGTCCTCTTGTCCATCTCTGACTTGTGCTTTGTAAGCTGCTGGCACTGACCGCTGCCTGCTGGCCGTTAGTCACTGGATGATGTTGGTGCCTCCGACCTGGCAGATGTGTAAAATCTAGGTAGTTGGACTAAGCCCTCTTTGTTCTCACACCCACCAAGAAGTAGCTGCATTTGTTCAGTCAACTCATTGTCTGTGGGACGGTCTGATGATCTTTCCTAAACAAGGCAGGAGGCTTCTTGCTAGAACCCAACCTTACTTACAGTTTAGCCTGTGGCTACCAGCCGCACCAGAAACCAGGATATACGAAATATATGTATCAGTGCCTTCTATGTCTCCCTCAAGGGTTTTGGGGGACAGGGAGCCCCTGTTCTTCCATCACTGGCCCGGGGTCCTGCTCTTTCTCTTGTCAGTCTAGTTCAGTTACCTCACACTCAGCCACAGCTCTCTTACTCCCCTTCCTCAGTACCCCAGACACCGCCATTCCAACCTTTCATCTCCAGCCTCCGCTTGCACTGTAACACATGTGAGCAGCCTGCAGTTTTCAACAGGGACCCTTCCCCCCTACCATCTGCAGAGAGACCCAGCTCCCACAGTACCGCTACTGTGGGATTCTTAAGAGGTCGCAGCGTCAAACCTACCTACCGAGTGCTCATCTTGATACCCATAGGCCAGCGCTGCCCCCAGAGAAGCTTCTCTTTGCCGTGGGAAGCGGTTTCTGGGGAGACTCACAGCTGGTCAAAGCGGGGAGTGTAAGACGACTTTGGAGTATCCAGCCCTGAGTGGGAACATCAACCGCACCCCTTCCGAAGCCCAGAGAAAAGACGCAGAAGCTGGGGGCGAGTGCTGGAAACGGTGTCTTCCGGACACGGCACGCTCTCTTTTTACTTATGGCTGAACTTGATTTGCTGATAGTGTCAACGACAAGTCTGTCCCACATTCGTGATGGAGATTGTCTTTGCTTGTTCTGCTTTCACCTGCCTTTGTCATCAGGGTAGTATTCGCCATGAAATGAATCGGGAACTTGTTTCTTCTTATTATATTTTCCGGGAGAACCCGTGCATAACTCATATTAACTCTTTAAGCATCTTATAGAGTTCATGGCGACACCACTTGGGCCTACGTGTTTATTTCAGGGGAGGATTTTGATCCCGAGTGTGAGTTTTCTGGCAGTTATGGAGCTATTCGAATAATCCGTTTCAAAGTGGATGAGTTGTGGCCATTTGTGTTTTTTGAGGAATTGGCGGCCCATTTCATCAGTATTAAGTTCATCCCAGTGGGGTTATTTCTTTTGCACACCTCACTTCGTTGATGATATAAGGCACATGACTTACAGCAGCTTGTCGTTATCCTATTTCCCCTTGTTGATGGCACCTGTCCTAACCGCTCATCGATAACACAGTGGCCAAACATATCCTCTGGGAGAATGTGCGATCGTTACGATGTGTGTGATTCCACTTCGAAGCACGGGCATGGGAGAAGCTTGTGTGAGCTGTGTGTTGCTTGTTGGAGTTCTGTCCTTTCCCGATGCTGTTTCCTCCTTCCGTGACTTCCGTTACAACCTGAGTAGTTCTTTTCGAGCAGGTATTCTGATTTTGCTTCATTTGAGAAGCCCTTGATTTACCCCTCATTCCTCAGGGTCCTTCCTGGCTGGCTGGCTGATAGATTACCGGATGCTAGAGAGACGGTTCCCCTCATCCTGGGGGCATCTCTCTGGCCAGCTGGCGGATGCTGGAGAGACTAAGAAGTCCACCCAAAGACCCACTTGCTCATTGTCTCTGGTGACAGTCCTTCGGTTCCTATTCCCCATGTTGCCGAGGTTCTCCATTTCCGTTCGCTTCACCTGGGTTCGCAGTTGCTCACTGAAGCCACGGCCTCTCTAAACCATCACCTGGCTGTCATTATGCAGTGCTGGTGTCTGCCACTCTGCCGCTGTCCTGCATGAGGTCTCCCTGGTTCTCTGGGACCAGTGACTTTCTGTGCATTTTTGAATGAGTTCCTGGGTTCCATTATAAAATTTGTGCTCTGACCAGCTTTAACCCACACCGTTCTGCAAGGTAGGTTAGCGTAGCCCTGGTAGCTAACAGTTAGTGGAGGAGGTTCAAATGCCCTACTGGGCCTCTTTCTACATCTGAGGGTGGGGAGGGGTGGGAATTACAGCTTCTTGGGTGCCCCCATGTATCTTGGGTGTATGTGTAGGGAGACTTCCGGGCTCAGTGTTCTTCAAAGCTGAGTGGTGGTGTAGGAACACTGCATCATGGTGTAGGAAGAAGGAACCCTGGGATTCCCAGCCATGGAAGGTGGTTGTGAGAGACTGTACTTTCTTGTGGAGCCCACCATTGTCTGACACTCTTTGACCTTGCTGGGCTGCCCTTTCCTGGCCTCAGATTGAGAGGTAGTTGTGTCTCGTGTGTGTGTGTGTGTGTGTTCATGCATGGATGTATGCGTCTGTATGTACAGGTGCACACGTGTGTGTATGTGTGTACATCAGAATCCAGAGGACAACCTTAGGTGCTGCTTCTCAGGGGCACCCTATCTTGTTTTTTTAAGACTGGTTTCTTAATAGCCTGGAGCTGGCCAAGTATGGTGGGTTGGCTGGTGAGACCCCAGGAATCCCCACTTCCTCAGCTCTGGGATTCCAAGCACGTCCAAGCACGTGGTTACCATGCTCAGCCTTTAAAACGCGGCTTCCCCAGATCAAACAGATCCTCAAGTATGCGAGTCATGTGTTTTTACCAACTGAGTCATCTCCTGAGCCCAGAAGATGACATTTTTAATGAAAAATTTTTCATGCGAAGTTCCTTTATGCTCTCAATTATTTGTTGCCTGATAAATATTAATAGTAAGACCATCCTTGGGGAACAGTGTGTTTAAAGTATGCTTGTTTTCTAAACCTAAAATGCCGGCTGTTGGGTTAACATGGAGAACGCGTCTTCCGACAAGAACGCTCCTGGGAATGGACTGGGGGGACTGGGAAGCACACCCGGCAGAGGCCCTGCTTTTCTGTGGCCTTCATCGCCAAACGCTGCAGGCTGTGGAGACAGGGCTGCACTCCCTGCAGCGAGGTAGCTTCCACAGAGAACTGCTCTGGAGGAGACAGAACCGGGGCCAGAGTCCTCCTGGTATTTTTACCACTGGGGCTCCTGGGACTTAGGAAGTGCCAGTCATTTGATCCCTGCCATCTGTAAGCTTTAGCAATTCACATTTGCATTTAAAAATGTTTAAGTATGTTTATGAAAACCACTGCTGTGCACTTTCAGTTTTATCCAGAGTGTGTGCTCTGGACCTCTTTACCACAGACACAGACACAGACACACACACATACACACACACACACACACACACACACACACATGCATGAACACACATGCATACACACTCACATGTTGCAACATGTACATACACAGAGCTGTCCTGATTTGAAGGCTTTGTAACTTGTTTTTTTTTCACAGAGCATAAAAATATACCTCTGTAATTACGTGATGCTTAGTGATTAGATAATTACGGATAATTGCATGGAGTAGCTCTAAGTGTGAAAGCGCTACCGTAAGATCTAAAATGTACAAATTGCATAATAATTATTCTTGGGAGTTATCTGGTAATTCTGAGCATAATTATCATGTGATCCACAATGCATGTAATTAATGCACAATTGCATGGATTTTTTGCCTTCGTAACTGCTTCCCCCTTGTTGTAAAGCTCTTTGTCACAACATTTGAGTGTAAATATAATGTAATTGGCTCTGAGATTTAGTACATTAAACCCGCAGTAATTGCTTCACAGGAACGTAACCCTATCCAGCCAAACGCTGGGCTCTCACGCAGGATGGGTTAGGGAGAGCAGTTGCTCCCCTGTGGTAGCGCAACCAGGTCAGAAAGCCATGGGTGTGCTGAGCAAGGCAGCATGGCAGGTCCGCTGGCAACCCCACGCACGTTGTTGATGGGGCCACCTTTGCTGCAGGTGGACCTCCCCAGTAGACAAGGTCCATCCTCTGCGCACTGCACAGAATTTAGGTTTCCTTTGTCGCCAGCCACAGCCGGCACCCACTGCTCCTATTTTCAAATCAAAAGAAGAGAGCGCTTGATTGTCATCTGGGTCTGAAAGTTTGAGAAAGCTAAAGGGAGTCTTTACTGAACCCCATGAGGCCCCGTGATAAGCAAAGAGACCCGTGGAAGTCTGATGATGTGAAGGGCTCTGCCCCATTTCGAGAACTCGTGCCTCAGCCTACACTCCTTTCTCCACAGGCTTCACGTGGCAAGATGACTATACCCAGCACGTGATGGCCCAGGAGCTCGCAAATCTCCCCAAGGTCTACCCATGGCGCGGGGACGCTTCCAGCCCAGCCAGGTACGTGCAGGCATGACTTGCATCTTCTCGCTCCCAGCCACAGCCATCTCTCTGCGTCTGGCTGCTTTTAGCGAAGCAAAGCAACCACCACCTTTTTTTGGTGTAGAGTGGATATCCACGGGGAAGAGGCTTCTCTGAAAGGGAGTGACCACGCAGCAGAGGAGCCTTGCAGGGTGGGGCACTGGATACTGAGAGGCGTGCCATGGGTGCCCGCTTGTCTGTGAGACCCGCCCCCCCCAAATAACCCCGTATCTTGCTCTAACAAAGTGAGGTCAGAACTCTGGTTTCTTACTAGGAAGTCATGTTTGCTACCATGCAATGAGCAGGATTAATCCAAAAAGTCCCAGCCTTTCTCCCCCAAAGCATGGAAGCCCATATCAAGAAAAAAAAGTCCCGTGTCATCTCATCCCTGTGCATTTCCAGCTATAGGTTGACGACCTAGCAGATTTGTCTCCTGCACACCCAGCTATAGGCTGATGACACAGCAGTCCCACTTCCAAAAGTCGTGAAATGGGAAACAGGAGCTCAAAACACTGCCCAAAGAGAAGCTACTGCAAGATTGAGCCTACCCTGGTGTGCAGACAGAAGAGTTCAGACCCTCCCCGCTGCTGTGTGGGCCATGCCCGATAATCATGGTAAACATCCAGAATGTCCCAGTGCTCAGCACAGGGTGTCTCAGGAAGGGCAGGAAACCCAGGAATTGGAGAATCTGGGAAGCAGGTCCTGGAGTAGTGCTCCAAGGAGTCCAGGAGGCAGGGAAGAGAAGCAGCTGAGAAAACGGAGAGACACAGCCGCTTGCGATGCACTCAAGTGGAGCTGGTCCTCCGTCACTGTGGAAAGTGACAGTGGCCTATCTTGTTTTCCGTCTTCGTGAGAGTCGGAGCTCAAACACACAGGCACGCAGTAATTGGAGTCACCTTCGTGCAGGTCCCGTGCCCTTCAGCGTCTGTGTTTAAAGCCAGCGTCTTTCATCTGTATGTCTTGAGGAGCATTCATTCCTGTCTCTGGCTCAGAGATGTCCCGGGGCCGGAACTCTCTTCTCTCCTGAGTTCATTCCTTCCCCACGAGTGGGAGGGAATGAGGCCTGTCATCTGTCCTTAAGGGCCAGAGCCTCTGGGAGAAACTGGCTACGTATTCTGCAGAGTCCCGTCCACCCTCTGAGCCCTGTCCCGTCAAGAATTGGCTTCTTGGCTCCTATTTCCTTCTGGCCCCTCGGCCCTCTTTGCTTTGGTTTGACCCCTGGGATGTTGTTCATTGTAGACATAGCAGAGGGAGCCCGGACTCATCTTCTAGGCTCCACACTTAAGGTCAGACTGCACCGTGTTGTATCACAAGGTCACAGCCCTTTCCGTATACCCTCTAGGTCCCAAGAATTCCTCTCACTTTGACCCTGTGGCTTCTCAACTTTGTCATTATCAATCTAGGGGATTCCTATTAGAGGATGCCGTGGGCCTGTGGGACCCCATGGAGACACTACAGGTGGCCTGCAGGCAGACATGGTGCTGAGAGCTCTACATCTAGATCCACAGGCAGCACAAAGAGACTGTGACACTAGGCTTAGCTTGAGCATATAAGACCTCAAAGCCCTCCTCCACAGTGACACACTTCCTCCAACAAGTCCACACCTCCTAATGATGCTACTCCTTATGGGACAAGCATCCAAATACATGAGTCTATAGGGCTATAGGGTCTATTCCTATTCAAACCACACATACACACACACACACACACACACACACACACACACACACACGCACACATGCACACACGCACGCAGCACATGCACACAGTTTATATTTTTGCATATAACATGCTGTGTTTCTAATTACAAATATAAATGCCAGATATTTACAAATTACAAATGTAGGACGCCCTCGTTCATATTTTGGCTTAACGTTTCTCAAGCGAAACGCCATTTGTCATGTTCCCTTGCCGCATCACCGGCATTACACTTCACGAGCACGGCACCCTGGTGCTGGACTGTCACCCGGCATCGCGGTCTGAACCTTGCTCCTGTGATCATCCGGAGGCTGGGAGTCTCGGCTGCATCCCTTGATTCCGTTCCTTTAAAACTTGACCCTTGGACACTTGTGTTTGAAGTATAGGTTTCATAACCAATACCAAACAGCTTCCGAGAGGCACGAAGGAGCCCAGCAGGGTGTCCACGTTGGCGGCCTCACGCTCTTTCCCTCTGTTTGATGCAACTTACTGGTGTTTGTCTTCTTCGGCATTTTTAATAACTGTGTCTGATTGTAAATTCACCGATAGCCATCGGCCTAGGTCTCCAAGCAGCAGGCTTATTTCATTATTAATTAGAGGAGCCCGTGTGTCCCCAACCCCTAGAGAGTAGGGACCAATTTTGCCTTCGTTTCTCCCCTTTCTGCCCCAGACACTTCCCTCTTCCCTCTCCCTCCAGGACCGGTCACAAAAATCTCTGATTAAATAAAAGAAGGGGAGGGTGAGGGACCAGCAATGTGCCCAAATTACAAGATGGGTGACATCGGTGAGCAAGAGTCCTGCCTAGTCCCGAACCCCGTGTCACCTGGGTTCAGAGCTCTGCAGACCCACAGCTGGCCGTGACATGGTTTCTGGAGTTCTTTAGTACCTGGCACCCATCCCCAGAGACAGAGCAGCTTTCCTCAAGCCCGTGGTTCATTCATAGTGAAGATGAGGCTGGACGCGGCGGGGTCAGCCTCTCATCGGGTACTTGGAGGCTGAGGCTCGAAGCTGGCAAGCTCAAGGCCTGCCCGAGCTAAGGAATGACAGACGTCCTGTCTCAAGTTTTTAAGAAAGACGGGGCAGGGGTGGAGATTGGCAGGGTAGCTTTGTGAGAAAGTGCTTACCAATATATGTAAGTTCTGGTCTCCATTTTCCACAGGAGAGGGGGGAGAGTGTGGCAGGGGAGGGAAGAAAGGAGGGTTTGGTCTTTCCTTACAGGGGGCAGGGGGGCTTCCCAGCTGGTGACACTCATCACCTGTCCTCCCATACACTAAATCTGTAAAGAGAAGCCTTCCCCCCCAGCCTGGTTTTAGAGCTGCATCAAGAGAAGCCTTTTCTCTGCCAGCGGCTTGGTTTTTCACCCGACAGTTGCCTGGGTTCTGCCGCGTTGTAGCCCCCAAATAACACACAAGACACTGTATTAATTATGAAGCTGTTGGCCTTGCTTGTTTCTTACTGGCTAGCTCTGACTTAAGTATTTATCCCATAATTGCTAATCTAAGTATTTCTTTATGGGAGAAGTTTCAGGGCTTCTTATCCCTATGGTGGTTACATCTTGACTCCCTGTGTTTCTCCTACCCAGAGTCCTCCTCGACTCCTAGTCCCACCTATCTTGCTTCCCTGTTGGCCAACAGTGCTTTATTGACATATACACAGGACTTCCCCACCACTAAATGCCTTGCCTTAGGCAGAGGAGGCCGTGGGATGCACCGAACTGGACAGAGCCATGCGGGCATCGGCACACATAGTGTCAGCAAAGAGCAAGTTCCTGAGACGGGAAACAGTACTCAGTGTATATGAGCACCACCTCCCACGCTGGTTGGCCCAGGGCCTGTGTGTGGAAACCAAATGACATGAAACGACCCTCGCCGAGCCCCTCTGGGCTTTGCCTTAGCTGCTTTTCATCCCACGGATTGCAGGGTAGCTTGTGGTGATGCGTATCGCTCACGATCTAACGAAGCCACTCGAGATCAAAACGCAAAGCTAGCCACAGCCGTTAGAGCCAGGCGATGGTGGCGCACGCCTCTGATGCCAGGACTCGGGAGACAGAGGCGGGTGGATCTCTGTGAGTTCAAGGCCACCCTGTGCTACAGGAAACTGACCCAGTCCTAAAGAGAAACAGAGCTCACACAAAGGTGATCGCATCACTTGGGGGATCACACACCTTTAATCCCAGCACTAGGGAGGTGGAGGCAGAGAGAGGAATATAAAGCGGGAGGAGACAGGAACTCAGGATCGCAGTCCGAGCGTTGGTGGAGAGCAGCGGAGTCTGCATTGCACTCAGGATTCGTGGAGACAGGATCACCCATTTCAGTGTGAGGTCGAGATTAGAACCAGTGGCCCGCTGCTCTGCTTTCTCTGACTTTTCAACTGGAACCCCAATATCTGCCTCTGGGTTTTTATTATTTGCGTTACAGTAACTTCTAGCAGCAAAGGCAGGAAGCATAGTGCATCCAGGAGCAGAGTAAGCAGAGCAGAGCCCTGGAGTGAGATACGTAGCATCCTTCTGGAAGTAGAAAATAGTCCCATAAATTGTTGGCCGCCCGGAAGCCGAGCAACCCGGCCCAAGCCCGTGTGTTGATCGCCACCACATGGTACAGAGTGACAGTGGCCACTCAATCGTTGTGACTTACTACACGGCCGCGAACTAGGTCTCATGTACGGACGAGACACAAGGAAAGACAAGTAAGGCCATTTAAAGGCGCCCTCATGATCTGTCTCTGTCTGCATTGATTATCAATTGGTGAGGAAAAAATAAACAGAGCACCAGAGGAGTAAATGGGCCAGATAAATTACCACCTCATAGCATAGAGAATGAAATTCCACCCATAAAAAAGGAGAAGTAGTAGTATCAGGAAAATTATCTGTGATTTGAGACGCCGAGAACTCTGAACTACCCAACAAATTACGTGTTTGTCGTGACTGGACCAGACACTGGCAACAAGGGAGGGCTGGTATTATTTTTGGTTTTAGACACATCTAGCCTTCTAGTCCAAACTGGCCTAGAATTCATGGTATTTCCTCCTTTCTTGGCTTCTCAAGTCCTAGAATTACAAACATTGGCCACCAGACCTGGTGACAGAATGGGTTTATCACCTGAGATAAACAGAGATTGGGGGGGGGGGGGTGTTGATGAACCTCAGTTTTAGGAGACTTTTTTTTTTTTCTTTTTGGCAAGCATACGTGAGTTGGGTCTGGCTGTCATCTGTACACATGGGGCATGGGCAGATTAAACCAGGGCCACTGGCCTATCTTTCCTTCATCCCTCTCTTGTGTTTAGA